TCCGTTGGTCACATGGGTACCATAAGCAGCGTTTACAATGTTAATAGCGAGTTCGCACAATATACAGGTTCCGAGATATTTGATTTGGCGGTTCAACCCTGTTGGCGGTTTAGCCCCGGTCTTCCCTACTTTATTTCTGAAAATTACACTTTTATGATATATTACTTATTGTCTTAATATACTCAAAATGTACTTAATATAAATAAAATTTTTATTTTTCACTGCTTTCTTGGATATTATCTATGATCTTTTCTTCTGCCTCTATTTTTTAACCTTTGTTGTGCACACCTCTTCAAAATTACGTATTGTGCACGGGGGGTCTATTAGACCCCTTAGTCACTTAATTGTTTATTACAGACGTACAATTCGTTATTTTGACTCAAACAAAATTGCTGGCTATTGTTCAAAGCTTCCAAAGGTCTAATAGGTTTCATTAATATCTTGCAACATAACAGAATTACAAATGATATGTTAACTAAAGAAACCGAAAAATGGACTTTTTTCACTAAAAAATGCATAAAAAATTCAATTTTTAATATTTGTACGTATTAGAAAAACGCGTTTGAAAAAACGCTGGGGTCTATTTGACCCCTGTGTGCACAACAAAGGTTAAATCTATAGTTTATTTACAAAGACAAAATATAGGAGGATTGGGATAGGGAATATACGTATATGGGTGCGAGAGGGTGCTCGGTAATCGATTATGCAATTGTAAACGATAGTGCGCAAGAACGAGTGTTGGAATTTAAAATAGGGGACAGGGTGGACTCGGATTTGCCTCTGACCTTGTTACTGGAGGAAGAGGAGAATACGAGACAAATAGAGGGGTGGACAGAAGAGGAAGAAGAGGAACAGAATATGTCAAAGAAGATCATATGTTGGAACGAAGAGGTAAGAAAATTATACAGGGAAAAGACGGAGGTATGGAATGAAAACGAGGTCCAGGAAATAGAGTCGGTGGATAAAAAATTGGAGAAAATCAAAAACTGGATCCTTGGAGCCTTAGTTTATAAGGAAGTCAAGATAAAGAAAAGAAAAAAATAGGGCACAAAGATTGGTGGGATAGGAGCTGTACCAAAAAGAAGAGGAAGGTGAAAAGAAAGTACAGAAGATGGAGAAGTAGAAAGGGAAGTAAGGAAGACTATTTGGAAGGAAAGAAATGCATGAAGGGGTGGTTAGAGAGGAAAAGGATGGAGAAGAGAGGAATTAAGAAAATTGAAGGACGAAAAGAAAATTTGGAACTACATAAACAATCGAAGAAAGAAGAAAGAATGAAAACAGAATAATATTCCGAAAGAGAACTGGAGAAGTTACTTCATGGAGTTGTTAGGTGGGTCCGAGATGGAAGGAAGGGAAGAGGCGTTGGAGGTGCGTGACATGGGAACAGAATAAAGAAATGAGGAACAGGTTCAAGATACAGAGGGTGCATTCGGGGAGACGCTATTAACACTATAAACGCAAACGCTATGAACTTTGTTCGAGGAGCCAATAGCGCGACAGCGATAGCAAGCTCCCCGAACGCAGCTTAAGCGCCAATAGTATTTCGTGCCTCACCTCGAAAATAATAGCGAAAATAGCGCGAGTGATGACGTCACGCTGCCTTTACAGTGACGTCATCATCGTATATCACAGCGCCACAAAGCGTCTCCTCGAACAGTTTTGGACGATAATTGTGCTAATAGCGTGCTCCCCGAATGCACCCAGAAAAGGAGTTGCAAGAAGAGAAGATAGTGAGGGCAGTCAGGAATATGAAGTTAGGCAAAGCTGCAGGTGTCGATGAAATCCCAATGAAAGCATGGCGGTATGGTGGCGCAGCAGTAAGAAGAGGTTTAACTGATCTGTTGAAGCTCATTTGGAAGGAAGGTAAAATTTCGACCGAATATGGCGAACAAGTATAGTTGTCCCCCTATATAAAAGGGGGAATAAAGAGAGAACAGACAACTATCGAGGGATCAAATTGGAGGAAATAATGGGATGATACCTGACAGCCAAGCCGGCTTTAGGAAAGGGAGGTCTACGATGGACAACATATTTATCTTGAATCATATAGTGCAAAGGGAGAAGAAGGAAAGTATGGCAATTGGGAAAGACAAGATTTTTGCAATATTTGTGGGTCTAAGGACAGCATTCGACAACGTTGACAGAGAAATTTTATAAAAGAGAATGGAAGAGAAAAGAGTGGAATGCAGTTTAATAAACAGAATAAAAGAAATTTACAAAAAGACGGAGGTGACAATAATGACGAAGGATGAGTTCACAAGGTGCCTCAAGACGAAGAAAGGTGTAAGGCAGGGCTGTGTGATGAGTCCCGCCCTGTTCAATTTATACATTGCGGACATTGATAAAGCTTTAGAAATGCGTGGCATAAGAGGGGTAGAGCTAGGAGGAGTGAGAGTGTGGTCATTAGCATACGTGAATGATATAGTTTTGGTAGCGAAAAACAGAGAGGCTTTACTAGATATGATGAGCATGTTAAAAAGATTTTTAAAAGAAAAAAAACTAGAATTAAGTACAGAAAAAACTAAAATGTTGGTATTTAATAGTAAAGGTAAAAAAGGTAGGAAGACATGGAAATGGGGCGATAAAATAATAGAGAAAGTAGAAACGTTCAAATATCTGGGATTCACGTTTAATAGGAAAGGTAATTATGTCGATCATATAAAAGAACTGAATAGGAAAGGAAGGATCGCTGCAAATAGGGTTTGGGGTTTAGAAGAAAGATTATGCAAAGATGATTTTAATAAGAGATGGACGCTTTTTAAGTACCTAGTGAAAAGTGTAATGGAATACGGAGCAGAGGTATGGGGGTAATGTGAAAAAAAGGAGTTGGAAAAAATCATGTTGGATTATGTAAGATGGGTATTTAGACTAGATTTTTGCACACCGAGGTATGTAATACTAAAGGAACTAGGACTAGAGAAACTAAAAATTTGTTGGGGTATAAGAGCCATGAGGTACAAGAAAAGAGGCAGAGAGAAAAAAGACGGAAGTTTAGTAAAGGCATGTTGGGATAAAAAAAACATAATGGTTAAAAAGAAAAAGGATTTATATAATTTGGAACGAGGAAGATTTTATAATAACAATGATTGGAGCTCTGAAGTAATAAAAGAATTAAATAATGAAGGTAAAAATACGGAAGGCTTAGTAAGAATAAGGGAACAGGACATTCAAGGACAAATAATAAACAGTAAAATAGCAGAGGCAAGGTATAATACAAGGTACAAAAAGATAGAGGCGAGAAACAAAACACCTAGTTATTTATTAAAAGCTAACTTGAATAAAGTAAAAACAGAAGATGAGATTAGAGCGATGGTAAAATTAAGGTGCGGCAATTTAGAGGACACAAATAAATATTGGCTGGATGAAGAAGATATGAAGTGTAGATTCTGCAAGATAGGTAGGGACAATTTAGAGCATTACATAAGCACTTTAATTCAATTTAAAAATATTTACTTTATTTCTTCCAACCGATTATCTTGAATTAGATCAATGTTAATTTGTAATTTGTGCGCGAGCGGAGGAAGAAATCGGAGATGAGGCTTAATTCGAGAAAGTGTCTTTAAATCTATAGTATATATACACAGTAGAAATATAAGTCTATATTTACAATGTTTTTGATTTGGTTACGCAAGTCCGCGAGACACGGATTTGATAATTTGCGAACGCCAAAAATTCTCCATTCCGCGAGCCACGGTTCGTACCAAAAGGAGACTTGACGCGAGCCACGAAAGTCTCTCGGTAATCGCTGCAAAAGACAAAGCTATCGTTTTAGTTCAGTATAGCAATACTGTTATATTCGGTAATCGCTCCGGATAATAATCGAATGCGGGGCCGCGCGCGGAGGTCCGGGATTTTATACGAACGCGTCACACGAACACCGGATTCCCGGCAACGAGCCGAAAAATTTGTCGAGCCAATCGACCACCGACTTATCGAATATTCGTTTAATTTGAACTCAGCTGATTTCGGGATCGACAGCCGATCAGCTGTTTTCGCTGAAGCTTTCTCTCGCTGTCTCTCTCGCTGTCTCTCGCTTTGTTTTGGGTGTTTACACTGTTTACTAAAAGGGAGAGAGAGAGTCAGCCTACGCAGAAAAAGAGACAATTTTTCTGCCTCTCGAATAACGCCGGTTATTCCCGAAATAAATATAAGTTTAGCTTGATATAATATTACGCATGATTCGCGTAATCGAAGCAATTTCCGCGGAGATTGTAACATCAAGTTGTAGAATTTGTATACGAAGCAAATATTGTTAAAAGTGGATTTTTTTTACTGCTTTATTTACTTATTTTTTTCTCGGTTTCGAACATAATTAGATTTACATATGTTTACAATATCTTAATCAATCATAAAAAAATAATTGTATTATTAAATATAAAAAAAATAAATTATTAAATAATATAATCATATTAAATATAAATATTATAAAAAAAGATACAACAAAATAACAATTAAGCGTATTACAAAGAAATTCTTTCTCGTTTTATTACACGATGTGTTGTCGAAGAAGTTTAAACGCATATCACAAAAAGAATACATTAGTAATATTCAATGGTTATTGAAAATCAATTAATTTTAAATTAAATAAAAAAATATATGTTTTACTGCACATCGTTATCACACAATTATGCAATATGTTATTTATGTTTCAGGCGCCAAGTGGCATTCACGACAAAAGATATTAACCCCCACATTTCATTTTAATATATTGCAGCATTTTATTCAGATTTTGATTGAGGAAGGTGAAAATATGACCAAATCTTTGAAAAATGCAGGAGGCACAGTTGTGAAAGATTTAGTACCATTTTTTAGTGAACATACGTTGAATGCAATATGTGGTATATGTTATGTTCATAACTGTACATTTTTACTGTAAATTTTCTTCCTAAGGCTCCTGGGTAGTCACCGCAACCATATTAGATTCTTACTATCGAGGCGAGGAAAACACACAATTTTGTTGTGCATGCCATTTTCAAATAAAAAGACATTTCAATAAAACATCACTATATAGATCGTTTCAAAACACTTCCAAAATTGGTCGAAAACTACGCGGGGTTAAAATCTTCGTGACCTAAAACAAATCGTACTACGATGCTCCATCTGATATAATATTTTTAGAAAATAATGTTAAGCAAGTAATGCTTAATACAATTTAAATAATAATTATATTATATTCTATATCATACAAACTATAAGCAACTATTTCTATGTTGTATTTGATAACTTTGTGGAATAATAGTACAGCGATACGCTCGCGAAGAGAATAAAGGAACGTGTGTGTTTCTCTAGCCGCGCAACGAACGAACGTTATATAAAAGAAAGTCTGCGTTGCCTGGCAACCTAACAACAGCTAGCGCCGCTTACACAAAACTAAGATCTAGGGAATATGTATATATACAAGGTGATCAGATTGCACACTACTTAACAGTATTAGATGTATATTCAATTTTAAATATAAAATTTGAATACAGCTTAAATTTTATTATTTCAAAACCTTAATTATTGTATATGCTTTTTAGAGACATATTTGGTACCTGCTGGAACAATCTTGCATCTTTACATTTACGGAGTTCATAGAGATCCCAATTTTTGGTCAAATCCGGAAGTATTTGATCCTGACAGATTTTTGCCTGAAAAAATCCGAAATCGTCACCCTTATTCGTATTTACCATTCAGTGCTGGACCACGTAACTGCATTGGTAAGCTGTACCTATTTTTTATATCCTGATGTATAATACTATGTTATATTAACATAGGATATATGTACCAAATTATAGGTCAACGATTTGCTATGTTGAAAATGAAAGCGACGATAGCTCCTCTTATACACAATTTCTACTTGGAGCCCATTGATTATTTAAAGAATTTTTGGATGCAGGTTGATTTGGTATTTCGCCCTGCTCAACCACTTCGTGTAAAAATTTATCCCTGTCTGTAAAACAAATGCAAGCCTTTGAAGCACAAATATCGATTTAATGAAAATCATAAAAAGCAAAGGAAAGGTTTTATTTCCTTACAAAATGATTGTCAGCGTCGTAATAATAACACTTTGGTCACTGGTCATTATTGGTCACAAAATTAAAATATAAATGGAATGTATTAAATGTATAAAATGTATGTATAGTGGTCAGCCGCGATGACTTTGTAACATATACAACCATAAGATTCAAAAATTAAAATAACGCTTAGAATAATCAATGATTCAAAAGATAATTTTAACGTGAATAGAACTTTTTATCACATTTTGATTTAAGGTGGTCCTTTCGTGAGAACAAGTATTAGATAGATACCTAAATTTGATATATGTTAAATATACAGTAATAAGGGGCATGTGTACGAAAAATCAAGTAAGGTTACCGACACTTTACAAGAAATAAGTCATTCTAAATGTGCGTTCGCGGAGCGTGCCATTGTCATTCTATCCTTGTTTACATCTAATGAACGAGAAAGATAGAATGATGCAAATCGCCACGTCCGAGGTTTTCAACGAATAATACATGTACTTAGCGATCAGATGAATACATTATTCATGTCTTAAAATATTCCCTGAAGTTTCCGGATTTCGTACATACCTTGAAAATAAGGGCTTGCCGAATGTTTTGCTCTGATATATGAGGTTAAATAAGTAGTGGTCCAATCGCATATTGCTTTACTTGTACTGTCATGCCTGACCTAACCTAAATCGAGTCCAACCGCACTACTATTGTGATATTTTTTTAATTAGTAAATAATTAAATACGATTAAATCGTGCGTGTAAAATCATATTATATTATTATAATTATTGGGATGTTGTGTAATGTTTGTCAATATGTTTGTTTTCAATTACCTCATGACGGACTGTTACTTGACTAGCTGGGTCCGCGAAAGGACCACCTTAATATCTATTAAAATATTTGTAAATTTTTCAAAAAAGATCTTTATAAGACTAAACTTTCACAGTATCAGATTAATTCATTTTCTCTAATAATTATTTTTAAATTGTTGAAATAAAGCGATCCAAATAAACGGGAAGAAATGATTGATTTACACAAATAGTAATGCTTACTGCAAAGTTGTTCAACTGGCGTCAGGTGTAGTACTTCCAGGCTTCTTCCTCCATCTCTTAACAGAACTTCTTCTCATTCGCATCACGATGCAAAGTTATACAAAATAACTTAAAAAAATACAGTTTTTATCAAGAAGTATATATCTGTTACCCGTTTTGTGTTTCTATTACGTTTTCATTAATTTAACGTGGACTTTTTTCGCACAGTTAACTTACCCTACTATCGGGGCAAGTTGACTACAATGCAGCATGTTCGTATTTCACTTAATTATTACAAAGAAGTTATACAGGAGCGTTCCTGGCATGAAAATGTAGAGAAAGGTTCTCTTTAACATATTAGTACTGTTTAATCATGATAATTAGTTGTTTAAAAACTCAAATGCCGAAATTGTAAAAACAGTGCCGACGAGCCCCGGTCTCCTCTATTTTATCTATATATTAATAAGAGTAATATTTTATATTTATTTGTTAAGTTATAAATAATTTATTAAATATTTTAAAAAATCTTAAAATATAAGCTAAAATATTTTAAACAATAAATAAGTGAAATAAATAAGTTGAATACGACCGTATAAGATATACATTCAAATTACGGAGAGGCCGTTAAAATATTTTATTTATTACACAATGTATTAACCATTCAATATACTATTACATTATACTGTGATCTGAAAACGATATACTACGCAAATAAATAATTATTTCCATTAGTAACAATAACAATTAATAAATAGATTATAAAATGCTCACCTTATCTGTTATACCTGGCCGTCTTCTCGGCTTGTCCTCTTTTCTTCTTTCTCCGTTGCTATTTCTTTGTGGCACTTATATCTGATCTGTTTTCTAAAACAAACAAAATATTGATTACAAAAACGCAATTACAAGCAATCATCAGAATACAATAATCGCGCACCTCTGATGCTATACTTTCTATATATGATACTCTCGAAATTAATCACACGTACTTATAATCATATTGCGACAGCAGAGAAATAAGAGAAAAAATTATAGCACGTTCGACACACACATCAGCGATATTTCACAAATAAAAATCAACGCAACGAAATGTATGTAGGTATGTAAAATAACAATAAATTAAAGGTTTCTCACGGGATAGATCTTCGGCCGAACAAGACGAAATGTACTCGTCCGAACGGATTATCAACATCCGAGTGCCGAATCTATACTTCTAGCTCGTGATAGGTACTGTGATAAATATTAAATGCAAAGTTAATACATTGTATTCACTAATTAAATAAGTCGCGACGGCCACTCGTTTCGGAGCCGATCCACCTCGTGTCTGTCCGCCGCGTTCTGAAAATAAAAGGGAAATGTAATCAACATATGGCAGAGGCGCTTCGTCTCCAGCGCGCGGTTAAAGATGTATGATAGATAGCTATTATATGTATAATTTTGTTTTCTTGATTTAAACAGTGTAGAGCTAATCTCAGAAATTATTTATAAACAACAGGTATTATTTGGGGACAGAAAAAGCGTGAAAATCGCAATTTTGTCCCATTTTTGTACTTGATATTGTTTAAATAAATCATTAAAAAACTGAAAAAAATATATAACTAGAAAATCTTAAAAAACAGTAATTGCAATTCTCGATGTCATAGAAGTGTACATACATACCATAAAAATTTTATTCATTTTTACCGTACATGAGCAGAGATACATATTATGATATTTACATATGGGAAGTTATAGTGTATATACATATATACATATATATATATATATATATATATATATATCGCATCAATAAAATGCACGAATAAGCGTGCATAATCCATCTGATTCAACGGCGAAAGGTAATCCAACGTTTTATACGCATTTTTCATAACTGCACGGAGAAAATTTTATAGTAAATATTACTATGGTGTCGCACTAGCTGCGGACCATCAAGACGCTAATAATTATAGCATTAACTGCTATGATCGTAGCACTAAATGCTATGGACATAGTAATTTTACTATAAGACTATAGCATTTAAACTTGTGCGTCTTGATGGTCCGCAGTTGGTGCGACAGCATAGTAAAATTTAATATAAAGTTTTCTCCGTGTGCTAAACGCGCGCTTCTCTTAATGCTTATTGTTTTTGTTATTGTTAGTCATGTACGTAGCAGAACGGCGCACAACGCTAGCCTGTTTCTTCTTGTGCGCTTATCGAAATTTTCGGAGAACCGAATGCTTCATATCTCTTCTATATGTGTTTTTGTGCAAAACATTTATACATTTAAAAAATAGAGGCAGAAGAAAAGATCATAGATAATATCCAAGAAAGCAGTAAAAAATAAAAATTTTATTTATATTATAAGTACATTTTGAGTATATTAAGACAATAAGTAATATATCGTAAAATGTGTAATTTTCAGAAATAAAGTAATTCGATAACAACGTTGTATTAAAGACAAAATGAGATTAAGATAGGCGAAATCTGCAGCAGCAGTTTACGTTATATATTTTTTTTCTTTTATTTATCATACATATCTCCACTTATCATTCGCTTTGGTTTCACGCTCAACTTGTATCATTCAGCACAGTCTTACACAAGTGGTGAAAGGATTGCGTAGGATTACTTACTGTTGAATAAAACGTTATTTCATACAATTCTACATTAACTATAGACGACGGAAAAACATTTTAATTTCTCTGTGATTTTACGCAGAAAGAAGTACGAATATTATCAAACATAACAGGAGACAAATTTGAAGATTCTAATGTGAGAAGATGTCGTCCGACGGAAGCAATTCTACTTTTTATAAGAAGAAACATAATATAAGTGAAAGTAATGTGGACTTAGATGATCAGAAAATAAAGAGGTAAGCAAACATATTTCGGAACACTTTAATTTTTCTCGTGTTATAGCCGCCATGTAATATCAAATTTTCATATTAGTGACAAAGAGCATTATGATGACGATTAACATAAGAAAAATTAAAGTGTGATTACGTGAGGGGTAACATGAGAAAAATTAGAGTGTTTCGAAATAGGTACTGTTTCGATATACCACTACTTTCATCGTTTCCTTACTCGGTTAGATCGTACCCCGAGAGCTTCCTAACATCCCAGCCGTGTTCTATAGGCGGTAGTATCACAGTGGATATACCGTCGCTTACCCCTAGTCCTCATGAGTCGACGGCTTCTTTATCTTTCTCTTTTTCTTTTTTCGCTAACTTCTTCCGAAATATGCAAGGTAATTGTGTGTATGCGTGCACGTATTGTGTGCATGGCGTGTACGTGTGTGCTCGCACCCGCGCATGCATGAGCAATGAGAGAAAAAGCATTTTCGTTAAAAAAAAAATGGTACATATAATATACAAATGTTCTGACCCTGATAGATTACAAAATATACAAATAATTGTTCTTAGAAGAAATGAAATTGTGAAGAATCTACTGTCATTTTATTCAAATTTCTTTGAAGACTTGCAGATAAAAGAGCAGATTCTTAAATTCATAAATTCTATCTGAACAGTAGTGACGAGACTAAAAATGTCTGAAAGGCATGAAAGAAGGATGCCAAGTTTATGTATCTTTCAGAGTCGCCGAAGAATTGCTATAAATATAGCCATGCGATGTAATTATTGCAAAATTATTACATGTCCCAATTATATTGACAGTGTCCCAATTTGTGATAATCTCACTCGTCTTTCTTATAGCGAATTCGATTGGACACACCAGTGCGCACTCAGTGCACATTAAAGCCGTCGTACACAAATCAACGTATATATAAATTGTATATTTAATATAAACGGGTTAAGTCACGAAGTGCTTAATATTCTTTATTGTACTATTTGGTAAAATTGTATTGGGCATTTTATCAGTCGAAATATTTGCATTTTACTTTAAATATTAGAGATTAAATCAGTGTACAATGGCTTTAATGTTCACTGAGTGCGCACTGGTGCGTCCAACCTGCAAAATCGTTATTAATAAATCAGCTAATAAGTACGGATCCAATATTTATTTTAAACATGTATTCAACATGTAAACAAAATCAATTTTGTATAATTTGTTTAACATGTATATTATTAATTTATTAATTTATTATTATGATGAGATTCCTCGGTCAGTAACTTGGACATTTGCGAGATTCTAAGGAGGTCTATTGAAAGCCCAGCACGTTTGAAAATGATCAAAGAAGAGGCTCTTTTGTATGGTCATGACATCGTTTTTCGTGAACTACTTAACTTACGACCCGAAGTAACCGATAAGATGATTCTGGAAGCCTGCCGACTACTG